CCAGCTCACACGACCACCGTAAGAGAAGCACTGAAAACAAGTCACAACACTGAGACAAGACTGAAACTGGAGCCACACGACCATGCACTATCCCTTCAGCCGAGGAACTGCGGCGATCACTGACTTGGGGTCTGGGGCTCCCCCTTCCCCCTCCCGGAGAGAGGAGAGTTGCGCAGACATGCTGCGCAGCTCATGTGACGTCATGCTTGTTTGCTCGTTTTTCTTGGGGAGTTCTGTTCACTCGTTTGTCGATTTTCGTTGTTAACCAGAATAGGGGTTTGTTTTGTGGCCCTTACCTTTCTGGGTGCCTGTCCCGGTCGATGGCAGATATAGAATGCTCCAAATCACAGGTGCATTTCTATGGGCCATTGCTTCCCGTGCCTCTGTGAGGGGGCCAGGTTCTGGCTCGTGGTCCCCGGTAGGCCTAGAACTCCACCCACATCGTCTGATGCAAAATAGTTCGGTATCCATATCAGCCATGGATATCTCCGGGGAGCCGTAGGGGCTCCCCCTAGAAAACGCAAAAAATACAAGTGGACCGGAGGGAGGGAGGGAGGGATGCCGGGGAGCCTCCGAGACTCACCCAGAAAATGGCGTTTCATTACATTCAACGCTGGTTTTCTGGGGGGGAGGAGCCCCTTCGGCTCGCCGGAGCTAACTACTCAAAGATAAGGAAAACCAGGGTCTTACCCGGGAGGCGGTTTGTCCTCACTCCTCAACACGAAGTCGAGACAACTGGGGCCTCGTAGCCTGGTGGATAGCGCGCAGGACTCGTAATTCTGTGGCGCGGGTTCGATTCCCGCACGAGGCAGAAACAAATGGGCAAAGTTTCTTTCACCCTAAGTGCCCCTGTTACCTAGCAGTAAATAGGTACCTGGGAGTTAGTCAGCTGTAACGGGCTGCTTCCTGGGGTGTGTGTGTGTGGTGTGGGGAAAAAAAAAAAAAAAAAAAAAAATAGTAGTTAGTAAACAGTTGATTGACAGTTGAGAGGCGGGCCGAAAGAGCAAAGCTCAACCCCAGCAAAACACAACTAGTAAACAACTAGTAAACACTGGCTGTAACCACCGACCCAAGGCAACGCAGGCCCTACCTGGCCCCCGAATATTCACCAGGTAGCAAGCAACCAGAACCCTGTTCGACATCCAAAAACCCTGTGCCGAAATGTCAACCCAAGACAAGTTGCCAAAGACGGCAACCAAAGCATCAAACTTGCGCACGTCGTGGACATGGGGATAAACCGCAGGCTAGCTAGACTTAATAACAATGCAGGCAACCTGAGAGACCTAAGCCCGGGAACAGGGAAGAAGGGAAACCGGGTCAACCCAAAGCGCATCCCCGGCCACCGAAGCTGTGGCACGCAAATAACGGCGGAGAGCCGCAATCGGACACAACACATGAAGCACCCCCAGCCTGACCAACCAAGCATCAACAACCCAAGTCCCCCTCCGAAACACAGCTGTTTCATTCTTCCCTAGAAAAGAGGGAGACGGCTGCAACCGAACAAAACGACCACCAGGACCGAAGGAGCAGAAACCTCTGCGCCGGAGAAGAGCAAGAAGCTCCCCGACCCGACCCCCAGTGGCCAATGCCAACAGGAAAAAGAGCTTTATAAAAACAATCCCAAATGGAAAGGGCCACAACAAACCGAGGGGAAAAAAGAAACGAGGCAATCCGGTCCAAAGATCAGGACGGCTCAGGAGGCGCATGAGCAGGCCGGAGGTGAAACAACGCCCGTTGCGAAACTGGGCAGAAGTAACATCAACACCGAAAGCAAGTTGAAGCGGCTCTGCTAGCACCACACAATACAAGGCGACAGTATTGGGAATAAGATGACGGTCCTGGAACAACCAAGAGAGAAAGGACAGAACAACCCTATCAGAGACCGAATAATACCTACTCAGTGATAGAAAGAACCGGAAGGACCGCCAGGAAACCTCATACTAATGCTGAGACGAAGCTAGCAGGTGGGATACCAACAACGAAGCCACCTGCACACCATACAAGTGATGATACACCCTAGTCAAAAACTCCAGACACGAAGACTCTAGGAGAAAACTGACCCAGCCTCGTACCGGGCTGGTCCGATCCGCTGAAAAAAGGCAAAGACGCAGGAAAACCCTCGGGTTTGGACACCGAGCAAGCAGCGCCTGAAACCAAAGCTGGGCCAGCCACAAAGGAGCCAGAAGGACAACTCTTCCCTGATAAGTCTCCAAGCGAGCCAGGACCTGTAGCAACAGTCAAACCGGGGAAAAAAGGTACAGGTAACCCCATCTCACTCAGTCCTGCCTGAAGGCGTCAACTCTGATGGTCTCGCAGTCGGGGAAGGGCGCCACGTATACCTGGAGACACCTTGACCACTCCAACGTGAATAGATCCACATCTGGAGTCCTGAACGTCTGGCACAGCCAACGAAAAGAGTCGGCATCGACCGTCCATTCCGTGGAAAGGGGAAGGAAATGAGACAGGCCGTCCACCAAGACGTTGGACACCCCCCGGATGTGAACCACCAGGAGAGCCAAACCCCGAGAACTCAGAAGACGAGTCACCCAAAGCTACCAGCCCAAAAGAGCCAAGGACCACATCGAGCCCCCCACGGTTCAAGCAATAAACCACCGAGGAGCAGTCCGAATGGAGCCGGATCATTGATCCGCAAGTGACTTTAACCCTCTGGAGCGACATCCACACTGCCGCGAACTCCCTGACCGTGCTGTGAGCCCGACGGAAAGACTGACCCCACTGCCCCTGGCCGGCCTGGTGAGCACTGGTCACAAAGCCCCAGCCAAGAGACGACGTGTCCGTGAACACATCGAGCTAGGGCTCGGGTAGGCGCCAAGGCACTAAACCCCGAAAAACCCGAAGAGGAAGCCCCCAGCGGCCGAATCCAGAGGTTGCGAGAGAGGTGAAAAGGACGTTCCCGAAGGAACCAGAATAGCCGACGAAGCCACACCCGACCCGGCGGGGTAGACCATCATGGCAAAGTTCAGGCTTCCGCACAAACTCTCAAGCAACCGCCACGTGACCCGGGAACCTCTCAGAAACAGACAAAGGCGGGACCACAGGCGAAGCAGAGCTACCGGAGGCAGAGACAAGGAAGTGGTGCGAGCGTCCCAAACCAGACCCAGCCAAGACCGAACCTGAGAGGGAAACAGATGGGACTTCCTCCAGATCACCATGAACCCGAACCTGGTGAGCTGGGAAAGAACCAAATCCTTGGCGAGCAGACACGCGGATTGGCTGGGAGCCCAAACCAGCCAGTCATCGAGGTAGGCCAGAACCCGAACACCTAACAGACTCAGGCGAGACACCACGACCCGAGTAAGGCATGTGAAAATGCCAGGTGCCATATTCAACCTGAAGGGAAGACAACGAAAGCGGTAACCCTGACGCCCCACATCAAAACCGAGTAAGTCTCTGAACCTCGGAAGAACTGGGACATGCCAATGTGCGTCTTTGAGGTCCAGGGACACCATCCAAGCGCCCGGCTCCAACAAAAGACAGACCTGGGATAGAGTAGTCATCCGGAAGGAGGGGCAATAAACCCACGGGTTCAGACGGGACAAGTCCAGAATGAATCGGAGGTCCGTGCAGTCCCGTTTCGGGACCGGAAACAGGCAGGAAACCCACCTGAGGTACGTCGTCTTTTCAACCACGCCCAGGCAAACCCACTCTGAGATGACCCGACAGAGCGCAGGAGAAGAGGCCTGCCCCCTCCAGCCCCGAACCACCCAAGTGGGAAGGAGCCACCCAACACCACCATAGGCCGCACAAAACGACCCGAAAAGCCCATGAATTGTGGGACCGGGCGCAAGCAAACAGGGCGAGCCCCCCCCCCCCCATCTCCCTCTCCCCGTTAATGGGACGAACTGCCAAAGAGCCGAAACACCTTGCGAGAACCTAAGCGACAAACAGGACAATCCCCGTGCCGACCAGAAACAGCTAGTACTGTAGGCTGCGTCTGCCCCGAATCCGGCACCAAAGACCTACCATGACAAGAAGAACCCCGAGCCCTGGTACGACCTTTCCGGGAAGGCCCCTCACGAATCCCCCGGAGCAACAACAACTCAGACATAGGCCGACAACTAACCGCGGCCAGGTACTGCATCACAGCAGACTCAGCAAACAGAAATGGACAAAAAGGAGAAGACAACCGGAGAGCCAGGGCCCAAGCGGATTCTAAGGAAGAAGCCAGCACCGCCTGCCGACACACGAGGCGAGAAGCATAGAACCGCGAAACCGCATCCCACAGGAGTGGCGCAAAGAGCTTCAGCAAAGCATTTGACGCCTGGCCCGCGGAGGGCAACGCACCGGACCTGGCAGCGGCCCCAAGCGCCCCCACATCCAACTTAAGCTAGTCCGAGGACAGCTCAAGGAGGGAAAAGAACCGCAGGGCCGAAGCAAGCAGGCCATGAGTACCTAAATCCTCCGCCACCAAGGCAGCCGAAAGGGAAGGAACTTGCACATGAAGTTGCATGACACCAACATCCCGCAGAAGGGCAGGGGCAAACAAACAAGCATTGAGATGCTCGAAGTCGCCCCCCAGGAAAACCTGAAATGCCGACTGAGTCTCACACCATTCAAAAGCGCGGGTCCAACAGAATTTGAATATGTGTATGTGGGATTTGAACCCCACATACTTGGACTTTGGAGTACCAAAGTGTGTGGGGTTTGGGTCCTCATCGCTCCTACTGATTTTCTCACTGGAATAATATTGCAGTGACAATCTGAGATGACCCCAGTGGTGCTTGTACCAAAATGTTGCAAACTGACATAATGCAAACGTACCTTAGAGAGCAACAATGCGAGATACTGCAGCTCAGAAGGTTATAGTTGACATGGAGTTAATTGCTACAGTTTACTAGCAGCTCTATTCTTTATCAAAATTTAAATATTTAAAGTACATTATTAACTTAATACATTGAGGTGCTCTAGAGATATTGAACATAAACCTCAAAAAAAAAAGAAAATATGAAAATATGGAAGATAACAAGACTAATACTAACCAGATCATCTAATAAAATCTCCCCCTGAGAGTCCTCTTCAAGCTGTGAAGATGCAGTATAATCCAGGTCAATACTGTCATCAAGGGTTGTATGCAATGGCGGTGCTAAAACACATTTTTCTGTCTGAGAGTCTGTAATCAAACCATTATCTCTGATCTTCAATATTTCCTTTGGTTTAATTTCTTTAAAATCCATATCATTTACAGCCATTTCCACCTCATGACACTGTGAAGAACCAGAAACAATGGATTCTGTTACACATGCTATCTCTTGCTTAAGCTGGCTTAAAGGTGCTGAGGTAAGCAAGTGAACAAGTTCAGGTGATTCAAAAGATTTCTCTTGAAGAGCCGTGTCTAGTCTGTCTTTGGCATCTTCTAATGGGATGGTCTTAAGAGGTTCACATATGGATCCCTGACATCTGCACAATGAACACAAACCCCTTTCTTCTGTCTGAACTTCAGCATTACAAATAGGCAACATAGAACTGTCCAACTTCATTAGGAGTCCCTGAAAAGAAAAAAAACAGGGTTGAATGTAATCGGACAGCTATCAGACTGATACTGTATTAGCTATATTAGTCTGGGGCTTCAGTATTATGAAGTTTTTATGCCTACCAGGAACCACGAGCCAGAACCTGGTTCTCTCAGAGAGGTGAAGGGAGCAATGGCCTATGAAAACTCCACTCTTTGAGAGTATATTCATATCTGCCACTGACTGGAGTTAGGCACCCAGAATGGTAGGTGCCCCAAAACAGATCCCAACTGGTAGAAAACTGCAATCCAAGACCGAACAGAGCCCAAGAACTCTCCCCCAAGAAAAAACAAGGTAACAAGCAAATTGTCATCATACCGATGTGCCGCTCATTCATGCTCCCCCCCCCCCCCCAGAGCCAAGAGTAGGTCCCGTCCACCTGACCCAGCCGCCTGCTCACCAGTTCAGAGACTGAGAAAACGGAAGAAAAACCACTGACTGAAGGGAAGGAGGGTGGGTGCCAGGGAGCCTCCGGAGCTCACCCAGAAAATGGCGTTTCATTACATTCAACACTGGTTTTCTGTTGGGAGCCCAGTCGGCTCCCTGGAGCTAGAGACCCAAAAATAATTAAAAGAGGGACTTATCCAGGAGGCAGCAGCTCTGCATGCCTCATGACAAAGATGGGGCAACTGGCTGCAACCGACGGACCAAGGCCACACAAGACCACTGAGGGCACGAAACGTTCACAAGATAACGGGTAGCCAGGACCCTGTTCGACCTCCAAATACCCCCGTGTCCAAATGTCAGCCCAAGACATGTTCCCAAAAACAGCAGCAAGAGCCGCAAACTTCCGAACATCAAGGGCATGAGGGTAGACCGCAGGCTGGCTACACTTGATAACCCTACAGATAACCTGAGAGACCCGAGACCTGGAACAGGGAACAAGGGATATCAGATCAATCCAAAGCACGTCCATGGACACAGAACCCGAGGCACGAAGGTAACGTCGTAAAGCCGCAACTGGACACAAAATATGATGCACCCCCGGTCTGACCAAGCATCCACCCACGGACCCCTCCAGAAGCAAACAAAAGGGGCCAGAGACCAGAGCCAACAAAAACAAAACCTTTTGAAAACAATCTTGGATCAAAGGGGACACAACAAACCGAAGAAAAGAGAAAAGATAGCACCCAATCCAAAGACCAGGACGGCTCAGACAGCAAATGAGCAGGCCGAAGGTGGATAAATGCACGAGAAAGCTTACAGAATGGAGCCAAAGTGACATCCACCCCAAACACAAGCTGGAGCGGCTCTACCAGTGTCGCACGATAAGAGGCGACAAAATTCGGCATAAGATGTCAGTCCTGTAAGAGCCAAGAAAGGAAAGACAAAACAACACGAACAGAATCAGAAGTCACCCTAGGAAGAGAAAGGAGGTGGCAAAAAGAACGCCAAGAGACTTCATACAGTCGCCGAGAAGACCGCAGGTGGGGACACGATGAGAGAAGCCACCTGATCACAATACAAGTGGTGATACATACACGCGTCAGAAACACCAGAAGCAAAGAGCGGAAGAGTAGATCGAACCAGCGAGGTACCTTATCGGTCCAATCTGCTGAAAGAGGCAATGCCGCAGAAAATGCCCTGGGTTCGGACACCGAGCAAGCAGCGCCTGAAACCAAGGCTAAGCTGGCCACCATGGGGCTAGAAGGAAAACCCTCCCCAGATAGGACTCCAGCCAAGCCAGAACCCGAAGCAACAGCTGGACTGGGGGGAAAGAAGTACAAGTAACTCCACCTCGTCGAGTCCTGCTGAAAAGCATCTACCGCGACGGCTTCGCTGTTGGGGAAGGGCACCACATATATTGGGTGATGTCTCGACCATGCCAACGTGAAGAGGTCCCCTTCAGGGGGGTCTGAACATCCGGTAAGGCCAACTGAAGGAGTCGACAGTCCATTCCGTGAACAGATTCCGTGTCCACCAGGACATTGGACATGCCCTTATGTGAACCATGAGGAAAGCTAAACCCCAAGAACTCAGCAGAAGGGTCACTTGAAGCAACCAACCCCAAAGAGCCAAGGACTGAAGAGACCCCCCCCCCCCCCCGGTTCAGGATATGAACCACCAGGGTGCAGTCTGAATGGAGCCGAATCGTAGAGCCTCGAGCAAACCGAATTCACTGCAGTGAAAGCCACACTGCTGCAAACTCCCGCACCGTGCTATGAGCCTGACATAGCGATGGAGCTTACTGCCCCAGGCCAGCTTGGTGAGCACTGGCCACAAAGTTCCAGCTGAGAGACAAAGCGTCCGTGAACACACATCGAGCAAAGGTTTCGGAAAGTGCCAAGGCACTAAACCCTGATAAACCCGAAGAGGAAGCTGGAGAAGCAGCAAATGATGCAAGGCCCCCGGTGGAAGAACCCAGCGATCACGAGAGTGGCGGAAGGAACAGCCCCCAAAGGAACCAGAACAGATGCAAAAGCCAAATCCGACCCAGCGGGTAAACCAGCACGGCAAAGTTCAAACTCCCACACAGCTGCTCGAGCAACCACTGAGTGACATGGGACCCCCTTAGGAACAGCTGAAGGCAGGACTGCAGCTGGAGCAACGCTGCTGGAGGAAAAAACATGGACACTGTCCGAAAATCCCAGACAAGGCCCAGCCAAGTCCGAACCTAGGACGGAACCAAATGGGACTTCCTTCAGTTCACCATGAACATGAACTCGGTGAGCTGGGAAAGAATTAAACCCTGGCAAGCAGACATGCGAACTGGCTGAGAACCCATACCAACTAGTCATCGAGGTAGGCCAAAAACCAAACACCAAGCAGAGGCAGACGGGCCACTATGACCCGGGTAAGACGCGTGAAAATGTGAAGTGCCATATTCAGCCCGAAGGGAAGGCAATGAAAGCAGTAAGCTTGCTGTCCCACCACAAGACATAACCAGTTCCAGAACCCTGGATGAAAAGGGACATGCCAATACATGTCCCAGAGGTCCAGAGACACCATCCAAGAACCCAGCTCAAAGAGAAGCCGGACCTGGAACAGAGTGGTCATCCAAAAGGAGGGGCAAGGAATCCAGCGATTCAGACAGGACAAGTCCAGAATGAACCAAAGATCCGCACAGTCCTGTTTCCAATCCTGGAAACAAACAAGAAACCCACTTCTGGGATTAAGTCATTTTGACCACACCCAAGCACACCCACACTAGGATGACCCGACAGAGCGAAGGGAAAGAAGCCTGGCCCATCAGCCCTGATCCTCCGAAAGGAGGAGGAACCGCACAACGCCACCACAGGCTGGAGGGCATGACCCAAAACTCCCACGAATCGTGGGACCAAGCATGGGCAAACAGAGTCAGCACCCCCCTCCCCAGCACCCCGTCAACAGGATGACCGCAAATGGACCGGCGCTCCTTCCGAAAAGCGACTTACATACAGTGACCACTGTGCCAACCAGAAGAAAACAGCTCCAGAGGAAGCACCGACACAGACGCTGCACCAAGGACCCACCTCGACCTGCAGAGACTTGAACCCTGGCATGACCTTTCTGGGAAGTGCGAGAACGCCCACCCCGGATCACCAACAAATCGGAAAGAGAACGGCAACTAGCAGAAGCCGCCTGCCAAAACTGAGAAACAACCGAGTCCGAGAACAATAACGGACAGAACGGAGATGAAAACTTAAGAGCCAGGGGCCCAAACCGAATCAATAGAGAGAGCAAGGACGGCATGCCGACACATGAGGCGAGAGGCAAGAAACAGGCCCCACCTCCCTGAGAAAAATAGGTGCATACAGTTTCAGCTACGCCGCCAATGCCCCAGATGATGGTCCGGCACTCAGTGCCTACACATCCTCCACAAGCCAGTCCAAGGACAACTTGAGAAAGAAAAAGAAGCACAGGAACAAGGCCAGATGCCCGTCGGAGCAAAGATCCTCCTCAACCAAGGTAGTCGAAAGAGAAGGAACCTGGGTGTGCAACTGGAGCAAGCCAACCTCACAAAGAAACACAGAAGTATAAAGGTACGCACTGAGGTGCTCAAAAGTGCCCCCTCCCCCCAGGTAAACCTGCAAACCTGTAGTAAGCTCCTGCCAATCCAACGTGCTGGTACGACAGAACTCATGCCACACCCCAAGCGAAAAAAAGGGCAGTCTGTAAGCCAGGAAGACGCCGGAACCATATAACGCACCAAATAGGAAGAAGACGAGGAACTGAACTCAAAACAGACCAGATTCGTCACAGAGGCAAAGTCCGGGTCTCGCAGGAGCACACAGGGCCTCCCGAACCTCTGCAGGGGAAATCCGAGAGGTTGTAAACCTCCAAACAGACAAAGCCACAGAACCAAAAAAAACCTGGAAATGAACCTGCCATAACCACCAAATCCTGAAACAGCAAACCCTGCATTGAGGGGCACCAAAGCCAAGGCAGGATCGAACAGGACCCAAGCGGCCCAGGCTGACTCCCCCCTCCCAGCCCCTGCAGCCTCAAAACCAGGTTCTGGGGCAGAGCCGTCCTCCATGCCCCTTAAAGAAAGAACCTGGCATCAAAGAACCTGCTGGTAAGACCCTGCAGCCTCAGCGAAAGGATCGAACTCAAAGGCCTCTGTCCATGCATCGAATTGGGCAGCCCTTGAGCTGCCCAAGTCTCATCCCCAACTAAACCCTGCCCCGACTCCAAAACCCTCAAATGTTTGAAAGCTGGCTGCAGGGGGAAGGGGAGGGGGGTAGGGAGCAGGGCGAACCACGCCAACAGGGAAAGGACTCGGGCACAGACTGAACCAAGGTCAAAGCGAGTGGATAATGAGTGGGGAACAAGTCTTGCATGATTCCGGGTAGAAGGTGTCTTCGACCCAACAAGCAGCATGATGAAGGCAAAACAGACAATCATCACCCTGAGACAAGGGCAACAAACAACCCTCAAACTCGCACAAGGCGAGATGGAACTCGGAAGACATACTCATGGTCACCCATGCCCCGATAGGGGTTTACAGAGCTCACAGGGGAAGGTGTCCCTATGGGAAGCCCAGGCACTGGTGCTGCAAAACTGGTTGAACCCTGTTGACCAACCACACACTAGAAATTGAAGGGACGACGACGTTTCGGTCCGTCCTGGACCATTCTCAAGTCGATTGTGATGAGGAGGTAGGGACAGGCAATAAATAGGCAAGAGAGAGCTGAGGAGGAAAGTCAGGTGTAGGGGATAGTAGTAATGAGAACTGCAGCAGGCCTATTCGCCCATACGAGGCAGCTCCTATTATAACCACCGAAGGAGATAGTAATAGGAAAAAAGAAGAGGATAGCAAGGGAGCGTAGGAGAAGACAATGAACAGAAAAAGGGAGAAGAGAGAAAGAAAAGGAAAGAGAAAGAAAGAAATGGAAGGGGGAAAGCTTATGTTAAGTCACGTTTGTTAGAAAGATTAGAGCATTTGAGTATATACTGTGAAAGGGAAGAGTCCACAGCAACAAAGCCAGGACTCAAGTTCATGTTGGGTACATTGTTTATAAGAGCCGATTCTACAAGACGGCGTCTGTGTAGAGTAGAGGCAGGAAAGATTATTTTGGAGGAAGACCAATCAATGGGATGATTAGAATCCCTCACATGGCAGAAGAGAGCATTGTTAGTGTCTGCAGACTTAACACTTCTCTTGTATTCTTTAAGTCTGTCATTCAGTGTACGGCTAGTTTTGCCAAAGTATTGGAGAGGACAAGATGAACAGGAAATAGAGTAGACACCAGCAGCATTAGAAGCAGGAGGAGCAGTGTGAACTAGATTGCTACGAAGTGTGTTAGTTTGTCGAAAGGCGAGTTTAATGTCAAGAGGACGAAAGGTATTGGTAAAAGTTTTGAGTTCAGATATGAAGGGAAGGCATAGTACAGTGCTACTAGTGTTGGAAGCAGGTTTAGGATGAAAGAAATTTCGTTTAGCTTGAGAAATTAAGTTGAACCCTGGTTGAACCCTGTCTATCTATTTACTGGGCAAACTGACCCCTGTGAAGGGAGCAACCTCGGGGACTGAGTGGAGGCCTACCAACAGAACCTAGGCATAACTAATGGGAAGCCAGGCAACAAAAACTTAAAAGAATGAAAAGAAACTTCGAAAGTGCACCACAACAAGAGGCCAGAGAGACATGGTTGCTGCTAGTATGTAAGCTGTGCAGCACCGTGCACCCCAACCAGCATTCGTGGTTGGATGCTGGTTGGGGTTTTTGAGCACCTCAAAACACTCCTTACCCAGGGCCAAACTAAAGCACCAAGATCACCGCTGACCCCAAGGGCAAGGCCGATGCCAAGCGACAGCAACCCTTATGAGAGTGAGAACCCGAAAGCCACAGAGATGATAACCTTGAAACCAAAGGGATGTACATACAGGGCGCCTAGGGAAGATAACCATAAGCACATACAGCCCGAAGAACCGGTACTCCTGGCCAACACCCCAACACATAGAAGGTACAACCACTAAGGTAAAAACCCTGACAGGAAATCGAGGCCAGAGAGGATGTCCGCTCCAGCCAGCTTCAGTTGATGAACTGATGAGTAGGCGACCGGCCCGGGTGGGGGTGGGGGGTCTCCCTCTCCCCATGGGTGGGTGGGGGGGGTGGAAGGGGTGGCCACACAAGACCTCAGCAGTCTTGTGTGGCCTTGGACCATTGGTTGCGGCCAGCCCCATCTTCGTCATGAGGCATGCGATGCTGCTGCCTCCCAGGTAAGTCCCTCTTTTACTTATCTTTAGGTATCTAGCTCCAGGGAGCTGACGGGGCTCCTCACAGAAAACCAGCGTCGAATGTAATGAAATATCATTTTCTGGGTGAGCCCCAGAGGCTCCCTGGCACCCACCCTCCCCTTTGGTCGGCAGTTTTCTTCTGTTTGCTCAGTCTCCGAACTGGTGAGCAGGTGGCCAGCTTGGATAGGGGAAGCCTCCCTCTCCCAAGTGGAGGAAGGTGGGGGGAGGGGCAAACAAGCAAAGCATCGGTTTGATGACAATTTGCTTGTTACCTTGTTTTTCTTGTGGTGGAGTTCTAGGGGCTCTGTTTGGTCTTGGGTTGCAATTTTCTGCCAGTTGGGGTCTGTTTTGGGGGTACCTACCTTTCTGGGTACCTAACCCCGTTCAATGGCCAACATGAATATACTCTCAAAGAGTGGAGTTTTCATAGGCCATTGTTCCCTTCTTCTCTCTGAGAGAACCTGGTTCTAGCTCATGGTTTCCGGTATGCATAAGAACTCCATATGACTGAAGCCCCCGACTAATGTTGCTAATATCAATCCAACAGCTCCTGGAAGCAGACGGGGCTCTCCACAGAAAAGATATTAACTTAACAAATATTTATGTACATTAGATGTTCATATGTAACAATATATATAATGCATGAAACAATAAACATTTAATCTCATGATGGAAATCAAGAAATGCACCCCTAGGCTTGCCCATGTCAACATGTTGTAATGAGGGACAGGAAGTATAATTATAATAGGAGGTATAAATGAGTTCAGGGAGTGTATTGAGTACAGCAGAGTGGTGCACTGAGTACAGGCTGGTCTAATGAGCACAGGCTGGTCTAATGAGCACAGACTGGTCTAATGAGCACACGCTGGTCTAATGAGCACAGGCTGGTCTAATGAGCACAAGATGGTGTATTGAATACAGTATGGTATAATGGGCAAAGACTGGTACAATAAACACAGGATGGTGTAATGTGCACAGACTGGTGTATTGAGCACAAGCTAGAAAGAGTAAGAGGTGGTGTTAGTAGTGATTATAGCAATTATACTTGACATAATAGCAGACAGTTCTTCTCTGTGGTGCATTGAGGTATCTGTACCATATGCTCTCCACTAAGCTCCCTGTTCTGTTTGAACAGGGAGACAACACAATTTTTAAGGCTACTTGTCCCCAAGAGGCTCAAAGTCATTCAGGACCTAGCATATTAACAGTGAACTGGGTGGCTTAGGGAAAGTACTCAGAGGGCCTTGCTTAGAAACAGTTTCACACATCCATCTGAAATTAACTAACAGGCTAAGATTGGCTGGGATCAAAACTGAATTGTTCAAAGGCACTAATGGATACTGTGGCCATCAAGTGAGCATTGTACAGATAATATACAAAATATTCTTTTGCAGACATACCTTCATATTTACAACAAGTTGAACCAGATGTGATGCTAAAGTTGACTGGAGACGCATACTAAAGCTCCGCATTTCTAGAAACTGAACTGTGTAACTGCCAATTACACTGCACTCTGACATCTGCAATACAAATTTGCCTATTACTCTTAACACAGTAGCAATAAATTACAATTTTAAAATGTACATATAGGTTAATGTTAAGACTTTTAAATATACATTTTTATGTGAGTTTTTATTTAGTGAGTAGGTATCTATCTGTATAAAGACAACTTATTAAGTCAGTCCAGGATCTATAATGCACTGATTAGTATGATTAATTTTATACATGCAGCTCTTGATAAAAATGAGTTCCCTGTTGAGTTATTTGTTGACCAACTTAAGGCTTTTGACACTGTTAACCACCACAACCTTCTTCTTAAATTACATCATTATTGAGTCAAAGGTAACTCCCTCCAATACCTTCAGTCTTACCTTAGTGACAGGCTCCAGTTCGTTTCTGTGAATGATTCTAATTCTCCCACCTTATCCATCAACATTGGTGTTCCACAGGGCAGCCCTCTCCTCTTTCTCATCTACTTTAATGAACTTCCAAATGCATATCAAAATCTCAAGTCAATTTTATTTCCTTATGAAACAACCTTCATATTATCCAGTTCTAATCCTCTTATTTTGAATGACACAGTGATTACTGAACTAAATGAAGTTCATTTTTGGCTAACTGTTAACAAACTCACCCTTAACATTGACAAAACCTACTATATTTTGTTTGGTAATAAATCCTCAGATCAAATTAATCTAAGAATTAACAAAATCCAACATAGTAATTAAGTAGATGGCAAATTCCTTAGTGTTCTCATTCATAACAAGCTGAATTTTCAGGGCCACATTCAAAATATAGCAAAAAACGTTTCTAAAACAGGTGGAATTCTTTCTAAAATCAGATACTGTACTATGGACCCTGCCCTGCCCTGCCCCCCTGGTAATGATCTATTATTCTCTCCTCTATCCTTATCTTAATTTTGGTATCTGTGCATGGGGTTCTACTACCCAAAATCATTTATGTCCTCTAATTACTCAACACAAATCTGCTATTGGAACAATAACAAACTCTGGCCCCAGACAGCACTCAGCCCCCCTTTACTTAAATCTTTGAACATGTTAGATATTAGGTCACTGCACATCCTCTCAATTATACTCTATACTGTATACTTAAAACTCTGAACTGTAATGCCAATCCTGACCTTAAACGCTTCCTAGAAGGTTATAACAGAACCCACGGGCACCATACTAGAAGCAAATACCTATTCAATATTTCAAGTGCGACTTACCCATTGCGTACTGCCAAGGGGCCTGACAGCTGAGTAATTACCTAAGTGTAATTACCTAAGTGTAGTTACAGGATGAGAGCTACGCTCGTGGTGTCCCGTCTTCCCAGCACTCTGTCATATAACGCTTTGAAACTACTGACGGTCTTGGCCTCCACCACTTTCTCACTTAACTTGTTCCAACCGTCGACCATTCTATTTGCGAAGGTGAATTTTCTTATATTTCTTCGGCATCTGTGTTTAGCTAGTTTATATCTATGACCTCTTGTTCTTGATGTTCCAGGTCTCAGGAAATCTTCCCTGTCGATTTTATCAATTCCTGTTACTATTTTGTATGTACTGATCATATCACCTCATTTTCTTCTGTCTTCTAGTTTTGGCATATTTAATGCCTCTAACCTCTCCTCGTAGCTCTTGCCCTTCAGTTCTGGGAGCCACTTAGTAGCATGTCTTTGCACCTTTTCCAGTTTGTTGATGTGCTTCTTAAGATATGGGCACCACACAACTGCTGCATATTCTAGCTTTGGCCTAACAAAAGTCGTGAACAATTTCTTTAGTATATCGCCATCCATGTATTTAAAAGCAATTCTGAAGTTAGAAAGCATGGCATAGGCTCCTCGCACAATATTCTTTATGTGGTACTCAGGTGATAGTTTTCTATCAAGAACCACCCCTAGATCTCTTTCTTTATCAGAATTCTTTAAAGATTTCTCACATAATATATAGGTTGTGTGGGGTCTATGTTCTCCTATTCCACATTCCATAACATAGCATTTATTAACATTAAATTCCATTTGCCAAGTGGCGCTCCATGTACTTATTTTGTCCAGGTCTTCTTGAAGGGCATGACAATCATCTAAGTTTCTTATCCTTCCTATTATCTTAGCATCATCAGCAAACATGTTCATATAATTCTGTATACCAACTGGTAGATCATTTATGTAGACAATAAACATCACTGGTGCAAGAACTGAACCCTGTGGAACTCCACTTGTGACATTTCTCCAGTCCGATACATTGCCTCTGATCACAGCCCTCATTTTTCTATGTCAGAAAATTTTTCATCCATGTTAGAAGCGTACCTGTCACTCCTCCAATATTTTCCAGTTTCCAGAACAACCTCTTATGTGGAACTCTGTCAAAAGTCTTTTTTAGGTCCAGATAGATGCAGTCAACCCAACCATCTCTTTCCTGTAATATCCTGGTCGACCGAGCGCGTGGTTCCTGGTCACGCGGTCTGACCTGCCTCAGTTTACTACAGCTGCCCGCTTAGTGACGATCGAGCCTATAAGAAATTCCGCGTTTGTGGTGAATTTTTGCATTTTGAACACTAAAGTAATTATTATATATCACGCCCTGAGTCCCAGGAAAGTCAGTGGTAAGGCTCAACATATGAAAACCCATGTAAGGATGACCATAGAGCAGAAACAAGAGTATAGAATGTCTCTTCCTCAACAATTAAGAAAATGTGTGCAGCATGGGAAGAATTGCAAACCTTTGCTGAAATGACTCACCGAAATCAAGCTGCAGTAGGCCGTTGCCTTAACCTATTCAATGACACTGTGATGCATTATTACACACAAATGTTAAAACGAAGGGAAAAACAAATGTCTCTTGACAAATCTGTAGTGAGACAAACAAGCACTGAACCACAACCAGGTCTTAGTGGTATGCAGGCAAAACGTACCAGGGAGTGCACACCAGACACCCCTAGGGTCAACACTTGCAGCAGAGAAGCTCCAGCATATTTCAACAATCCTAAGTATTGTAGTACAGGTTGATGGTAGTGAGTGGTGTCCCAGAGAACATAAAGGTATAGTGCTCTTGAAAAATAGGTGAGATAACAGGAAAGTGCTAAGGGAAGTGAAAAATCGGATGAGAAAAAGTTGCCCTAGTGTTTACAGTGCAGAGAAGAACATTCAAGATGGCCACTGGCAAGGGGAAAAAACAAAACAGAGCTTGATTTTGAGGGATTCAATGAAGAAAGCATTGATATAAGCAGTCTACATAACAAGTTGGTAAATTTAGATACTATAGTGAACTCTCATGTAGAAATAATTAGTAAATTGAAAGAAAGTAATGACCATTTGAATAGCAAAGTTTTATGTCTTGAGGGTTTAGTGAAAGACTTGCGAAAGGATAAGAATCAATTGGAAACAAATTGCAAAGCCATGGAAGAAGAAACTAAACTCTTAAAAATAGCTTTGGAAGAAGTTAAAGTAAATTTAAACATAAATGACTACAATAGGTTAGGCAAGGAAATTCAACAGGAGAAACAGCTTTTGTCAGCACAGATGGAGGAAGTTACACAGGGAATAGAACAGTGCAAGAAAGATATGCAACTCACTTATGCACAAGTGGCCAAGGAGAAGGAAAAAATAGAAGAAGCAGTAAAGGAAGTCAAACACTGCAGCAACCAAGATAAAACAAACATTAGGCTAGAAGTGAGGAAAGAATTGGCATCTAACCCGAAGTTGGTGCAAAACACAGTTGATCGGAGTAAGTCCCTGATCATTTTTGGCTGCAAAGAAAAGGCGATAACATCTAGGTCAGAAAGAGCAGTAGAAGAAGCTAAAGTAGTAGATAAAATTGTTGGCCTCGTGGAAGGTCTTACAAACAGAGAGAATGTGTGCGACTACAGGAGAATAGGCAGGTACGTAAAAGGGAAAGATCGACCTTTGAGGATCACCCTAAACGGTGCCAAACAGATCGAAGAAGTACTAAGGAATGCTAGAAAATTGCAAAGGGATGAGGATGGGAAAGGGTGGTCGTTAAGACGAGATCTTTCAAAAGAAGATAGAGAGAAGCTGAAACTGAACCTCGCCGAGGCAAAACATTTAAATGAGAGCAGGAATGAAGAAGAAATAAATTCTTTTTTCTACAAAGTGATAGGGGTAGGCAAACCAGTAAAGTGGTACATAAAGGCAAACCAACAAAATCAATAGAGAGAGGGGGAGTGAAGAATAAGGAGAGGGGGAACAAGTTCCTGAAGATTGCATACACCAACATAGATGGAGTGAGATCGAAGATACTGGAGTTAAGTGATGTAATACAGCTGCAGACACCAGACATTGTTGCACTCACGGAGACAAAACTTGAAGATGTAATTTTAAATGAGGTCATATTCCCAAGGGGCTACTCAATTTGGAGACGGGACAGAAAAATTAGGAAAGGCGGTGGCGTTGCTGTGCTGGTAAAAGAACACCTAAAGGTGAAGGAAATAAGGACTGCCAATCCACAAGAAGTTGACATAATAGCACTAGAGATCTGCTATGAGGATGATAAACTAATGATGATAAATGCATATAGTCCACCGCCAAGCAGCACATGGTCAAAGGAGGAGCTAGTCCTCATGCTAGATTTGATATTTACCAGGAAGGAGGAAGAGATGACATTCAGTACCTTCCTCCCTTGGGTAAAAGTGACCATGTCTTTTTGGGAATAAAGTAAATGCGTTATAAGCTGGAAGAAAATAAGGAGGTTGAAGCAGTTGAAAAACCAGACTTCAGGAGAGGACATTATGGTGACCTTAGAAATTTTTTTAGTGAGTATAATTGGACTTGATGCTAGGCAAGGAAGTGAATGAGATGTATGGCAAGTTTTGTGAAATATATGATAAAGGCACAAAAAAATTTATACCAAAACAGAGATGCAGAACTAGGAAACAGGATTGGTTCAATAGAAATTGCGAGAGGGCTAGAGACCGAAAGACACAAAAATGGAATCAATACAGGAAGAGGCCGAACCCCCAAACATACCAGCGATACAAAGATGCGAGAAACAACTACACGGCAG